CTTCCTTTACAATCAAATATCTCTCTGTAGTTAAGAATCCCAAAGACAACACAATCCAGACTCTCTGTGTAATAGTCATCTCTACGTGGCTTATTTTTTATATTAATTTTACTGTCTCTTTAAAGACTTTATTTTTTTTAAAACCATGTATTTGTTTTTATACTGTATATATCATCTTTTTTTTGTCTCTTTTAAGCCTACGTATATTTTACATATATTTTAAACTATTACATCTGAATCTGTCTTATTATGAATCTGTTGTTTTAAGCTGTAGCAGCTGTGGCTGCTGGCTCCGCCCACCTCAGCTTTCCAACATGGCGGCAGTATGATTACCGCCAGCTCTGGGAGCTATCGTGGGTCTATGCTTTTATCCAAGCAGCATGTAGCTCAGAAACCTCTTTTTTTGTTTTGTACTAGCAAAGGCTAAATCCATAATGTAGCTTAATGTGTCATTTGTAGAGACTTCATTCCCGCCATACTGCAGGTCGAGCGCGCACGCCAGCAACCCGCCAGTAGCTCAAACCGGCAGCTGTCGCTCATTTGAGAGAGACAATTAGGAAGCTGTTTTTCGCTCCGTTTTAGAATCTTTTTTCTCAGGTTTTAGGTGGAAACTCTTGCCCCACGTTGGGCGCCATTTGTTGCTAGAGTTTTCCTGCCTGGCCCACAGTCAGGACAAATCTCTCTCACCCGCCAGTCCCAAGCCGCTCAAACCCGATCAAGTAAACATAGACATTTATATTGGTTTCAAACTGTATGGCCGTGGCAGGCTTCTTGCTAACTGTTCTTACAGCTTAAACTAATCTATTTCTATTAATCTATACCTTGCCACGTGGCTTGTGGCTTACCGGTACTTTACATCTTCCTTGTCCTGATGGCGGCTGGCAGTGTCTCCCCCACCCAGCTTCTTGTCCTCTCCCTTCTCCTCTCTTAGTCCCGCCTATACTTCCTGCCTAGCCACTGCCAATCAGTGATTTATTCATTGACCAATCAGCAACACATTTGACATATAGACCATCCCACATCAGTTTAGAGGTTTAGTCTGTTGTCATGGCTGGGAGCATGACAGGACGAAGGTAGACATGGTGCTGGAGAGGTAGCTGAGAGTTCTACATCTAGATCAGCAGACAGCAGGAAGAGAGAGTGTCACACTGGGTCTGGCTCGAGCATCTGAGACCTCAAAACCCACCTGGTGATAATTAACTCAATACCATGTGTACAACAAATGTGAGACATGATTACATTGAAACTCTTGTAAAGTACAAGATATGTACTTCCATAAAGATATATTCTATAGATTAAGGAAGCAGACTCAAGTTATTAACAATGTATATGATAAGGTCTGGGGGAGGATAGCACCATAGATGGACTGTGATAAACAGGCTTAATACAAGGGTCTGGGGGAGCCAGTGTGGCTTAGCCATACAGCTACAAATTCCTCTCCTTCTGCACAGGAAACTGGTTCTACACCTTTCTCTTTGGACAGACAACCCTGCGTGTTTAACATTCCTGGTTCCTCTGTCTATGAGCACAAGTGCCTATATGCCTCCTCTACTCTGAGGTCTGATGTCCTCTTCTGGTCTCTGCTGGTGCCTGCACATACCTGTACATAGATATAAACAGATACACATAATTAAAAATAAATCAGAGGGGGAGAAATTTGGGAAGGCTTCTGGTATGTAAAGGGCCTACCTGGTCAAGTCTATCAGAGATTATAAAGGAGTATTTATTTATGCAGCCAACAGCATGCTTTACTACCTAATATATGCCAGATACTGTCTTAAAAATGCAGTGTAACTGACAGACAAGGTCTTGGTCTTCTGAAGAGTTCACTTTAATAAAATGACAGTCTTTCTATTACTCTTTGGAAATATAAGCCTCTTGGTAAATGAGAATTGTTTTGAAATAAATGAAGTCTTGAATGATTATTTTAAATACATCTGAATAAGTTCGTATGTGTGTGTGTGTATATATATATATGTATTTTTAGCGTGCTTGATCAAACACTAAAGTAAGCAAACATTTGGAAAATTTTAACAGTTAACATATCTTTCTTGTTTTTCTAGTCTTAAATGTTACAATTTTTCAAATTCAATTTTTGGAAATCCTGGGAAAGGGAAGAAATGGATAAATTCCAGATGGTAAACTGGAAAATTTCTTCACTGGGGAACTTTGGGAGTTTATGTTTTTACGTAAATTAAACTCAGAGTTGAAGCATGAGGTTAGGTTAAGTTTGTGAAGCTCAGCAGCTGATGATGACTCCTGCTTCCATCTGTAAGCCAGGGGGCCGAGCAGCACTGAAGGTCACTTCATCCTACACCACTGCTTAGAGTTACAGCATCTTTGTAGTTTGACTCAGAACTCAGCTTTGGAAGGGGATGATTCCTGTGCCTGGGACAGTCTGTTTGGAGTTGTTTATTCTCTTTGTCTTTTTCATGTTGTGACTTCAGATGATCTTGCCTGACCTGGACCAGCCTTCACTGCAAGCTCATTTGGAGTAGTTCTACTCAGGGGTTTGAATCCAGAAGTGGAGGCTGTTTATAGTTGGATGAAACTTGTTAATTGCCTGAAGAAGTCTTTTCTTAATCCTAACCATCCCCTTTGTGCAGACATCCAGTTAAAAAACAATTGAGGTGTTTAATCCAGTGAAGAACTATTAACAAAAAGACAAGATAAGCCCAAATTAGAATGAAGGTATTGTGGAATAAGAAGGTTTAGAATTTTTTTAGAAGCCATGTTGAAAAAGCATATGGGAAGCTAAGGAATGTAATCAAAGGGGAGGGATATAATAAAACTACATTGTATATAGATATGAAATTATTGTTTTACTTTTAAATAAAAAGTATTTAAAAATGTTACAACTTTATATCACTTTCCTTCACGTTTTTAAATCTCTCTGTCTTTGTCTCTCTCTCACACACACAGAAAGAGAGAGAGAGATTGATATTGGGGGAGAGACCAAGGAGTCATGGAAAAGATGAGGGTGCCAATATTAATTTTCAGATTTTTAAGATTTTGTTCATGAAAAATTTATAAACGCATTCCACCATCCAAAATTGAATACATTGTATATACACAAATAAATATTGTTGTAAATTCTATTTGCTCTATAATAAAGAGCAAGTAACTTGATAGCTACCTGAAAAGCATTATGATTTTAATACTTTATCATTCTCAATAATTCAGTCATAATAATTTTTGGCTTTAATTGCATATTTGTTACATGCCGAGCATTAGTTTATATACTTCATGAGTATCAGCTAGTCTGCAGCACAGGCCTGTCAGACAGACACTGTTTCATGAGGGAGAAGAGAAGGCAGTGCCATTCAGTGGTTAAATGACAGGCTGTCTGAGTCTCATTTTCTCTGTCACTCACTAGAGAGTGTTCTTGGGCAATTATTTAGTTCTCTATGTCCCAATGTTCTCATGCTAAAATGAGCTTACTAACACACATTATTATCATGAAGATTAAATATAGTCTTGAAATGTATGTGACATGTTGAACATATGTAAGATTTCCTAGACGCATTGATCACCATAGAAGTGTTTATTGTTACAGCAAACTACTACTTACTTTGATAAAGCTTCTCTGCCTTTTTGCCTAGATGGTATTTTACTAATTAGTGTGAGGAGAAGCCATGGTGAAGGGAGCTCATTTCCTGAGTTGTGGGGCTGTGTGTATCTTACACCTGTGTATACTAGTGGCTTCCAGAACAATGCTAGATATACGGGAAGTAGATCTAAGATGTATTTGAATATGTAGGTTGATGAAATGGATTATGATTGTATATTTACATCAAAGTTGATTTTTATCACATTTACGTATTTCCTGTTGTTTGTTGGAGAAGACTTTATAGGTAGTTTCCATTTCCTCAATTTGTATGATTTTTACATATATCTTGCCAAATATAAATGCTAAAATGGTCAACTTTTTTTCCTTATTTGAACAGAATGCCACTTAGATATTATAAAATCTCTTTTAATTTCTTCCCCCTTGTTTAATTTTTTTTTTTTTTGACATAGAAACAAACCCAGGCAAACATTTTTGTGGTTAGCTATTGAAAGAATTTTCTTTAACTTCTTTTATCATTAAAGAGGGAAAAGTAGGTAAGAATGGGAATGTTTCTCCAGGTAGAGTAGAGTTTGGATGGTCTGGCCTGTTTTGTATAATTATGTCATCTGCATAATGGTGATGTAAGGGGAGTGTTTTTATGTAATGGATGGTGTGCTTTAGAACCAGAAAAAACAGTGACTAGTTTATGGTGTTATGTAAATCCAGCAGGTTATGTAACCTGCTGTGGCCGTTGAATAAGAATGGTCCCAATAGGCTCATTTATTTGAATGCTTAGTCGCCGGGGAGAGGGTGGAGAGTGGAACTCTATGAAGGGATTAGAAGAAGGTTAGGAGGTGTGGCCTTTTTAGAGGAAGTGTGTCACTCGGGGTGTGCTTTGGGCTTTCAAAAGCCCAGTCCAGGCCCATTGTCCCTTTCATTCGGCCTGTGTTTCAGGATGTATCTCTCAGCTACATCTCCAGTGCCATCTGTACCACCACACTCCCTGCCATTGTGATAATGGACTAAGCCTTTGAAACTTTGAAAGCTAGTTCCAATTAAATGCTTTCTTTTATTAGAGTTGCCTTGGTCATGGTGTCTCTTCACAACAACAGATCACTAAGACGACATTCAGGATGATTACTTTGATGTGCAGTAAACTTTGTTTCCAAGACAATTGTTAATAGTTCACCCTCTCTGACTATGTAGTAAGATTCTCAAAGATGGAGAAAAAGATGAAACTTGTGGAAATGATGAGAAAGACCAAGAAGTTGTTTGCATTTGACCCTCACTGAAGTGTTGCTAGGGCTTCTAATGAACAAGCTGGAATTTATTTGCAGATTTTGTGCAACTCAGTATTTTCCTGGGCCCTTCATCAATGCATCCTGGTGGTAGCTTTGAGCTTCGTGCATATTCTGGGGTAATATACTGTTCTCATTTGCTTCCACTGTAGGCCCTGAAGAAACAAGAAGCGAAAGCAGATGAGAATGAGGACGTAATGAAAAACAAGCTACATCAAGCTGAAACTGAGAAGAGTCATGTAAGACCTTGAAAGTTAGCCTTGGGTCAGTTTGGTGGTTGGGGGTCACTGATACTTGTTGAACACTGTGAAAAGTGTCCCTGAGATCACCTTGTAGAGCATGCTGTGAGGAGAGGTGGATTACAGCTCTACCTTCACTCTTGAAAGCACACACAGTTCATTTGCTGCCATGTCATCTTGGATCTCTCTGCTTTCTGAGAGTAAGGTTTCTATTTCCTTGCTGGAGAACACTGAAAACACTTGACTGTTGAAGGGTTAGTCAGGAAAGACCTACTGTGTGAAGGCCAGACATTTTGTTTGTATTCATTTTCTTTATAATAGATAGGTGTAGTTTTGCAGCTCAGTTTTGAAAATACCCTCTGTTTTAGTCACCATCTGTGACTGTGAAGAGACACTATGAACAAAACAACTCTTATGAAAGAAATAATTTTATTAGGGGTTTGCTTACAGTTTCAGAGAGTCCATTATCATCATGGCAGGGAGCATGGCAGCATACAGGTAGGTGTGCAGCAGTAGCTGAGAGTTCTACATCCTGATCTGTAGGCAGAGAGAATGACACTGGGCTTGGCATGGGTTTTGAAACCTCAAAGACCATCCCCAGTAACACATTTCGGCCAGTAAGGCTACATCTACTCCAACAGGACCACACCTCCTAGTCTTTCTAACCCTTCAAAACAGTTCCACTCCCTGGTGACTATGCATTCAAATATGTGAGGCTACAGGGGTCATTCTTACTCAAACCACCACACCCTCCATTCTCATTAGTTGGTAAGGCCCTTTCATAGATAGCACATCTGTGAATACACAGAGCCCAGCACTTTAGCTCTAAAAGGTGATTCAGAGGCCAAACAAACTCTCAGTTTTCAAACAAGTGGTTGTAAGATAAGCCCAAGATAAGGAACTTGGAAGGAAAGTTCCTGCTGTTAGCCCAGTAACCCTTTTCTATCCTTACCTCCTGAAAGAACTCCTGACATTCCCTGTGGACTTTACTCTTGCCTCCACACCCCTTATTATTAAGAACTGGATGGGGATTTGAAGAGACTATTAAAAATGACTATTTTAGAGATGAATTGAGGACCGTGGTGAGAGTAGGGGGTTGGGTCAGAGGCTTTATGCAACTCCCTTTATGTTAGCTAATTAACATAATTTTAATGGAAGTTAAATGTGTATTTATGGTGAAATGCCCACCCTTCCCCACTCATTGTGAGCATCTCCTGGAAACTATTTTGCTGTTTTCTTCTTAAGTTGAGGCCCATTGGGCATATTTTGTTCATTGGGCACAGTTACTTTATGCCTCATTTTACACGTTTTTATCTTGTTGGAACTTAGCTGGAACAGGAATTGGAGCTTTCTCGCAGGCTGCTGAATCAATCTGAAGGCAGCAGAGAAACACTTTTGCATCAGGTGAGTCTATCAGACTAAGACAGTCTGCTGTTTTATTAAATCTGGATGGAGTCTCCTCTCTCAGATGTCTTTGTGAGAAGAAAAAAAATCTAGATCTAGAATTTTTTTCCCTAGGGCATGTATGTTAGCCCAGAATGCAGATAGATGATTCAGAGAGCTCGCAGAAAAGCCAGCCCTGGTTTCTACTGTGACAATGTATTTTGCTGACTGCTGCTCTGACTTCCTACTTATCTCTCTCAGCAGAACAGTGTGCAAGTACTCTGGATGTGTAAGATAAAATTTCCCAGGAGCTTAATTTTATTCAAGGAGGCATTGGAGAAGAAAGAGGATGGAGAAAATATGTTGAACAGACCTTTGAATGTTTAAGTTACTTTGAATACATCACTGCCTTTGCTCTTATGGTCAAGATGCTGCTGGCTCCTTTTAACTGAAGATGAGCCTTAGTTTTTAGGTATAATGCTTTGTGGCTCATTAGCCTTAATAGGAGTTGGGGGCTTCTGCTACCTAAAGTTGAGTAACTTTAAATGGTCATCTTACATATACTGGATAAGGGTAGATGTGTTTCTAACTGCTATTCTCCTTATGTTTACTAAATCAGATCATGCCTCTTTCTGTTTTTTGATGTGGTTTCAATTTTCAACTACATGTTATGCTCTTTAGGCCAGGGTGTCGAGTGTCATAGGCATTCAGAAGTCTCTGCGCATCCTCACAGTGGCACCGAAAATGCATCATGGCACCAGCTTTGCAGAGCTTTTAAAATGTTAATTGACTTGTTTGTAGTCAGTGGTCATGAGGAACTACTGTTGGCAGAGTTCAGAATTTGTTTTCTGGATGTTGGTATTTAATTCTATGCTGATTTCTTATATTAAGTGCCTATTTGTAATCTTTTTTCAGTTTTTGATGCAAGAGATTTCTTTGCAGGTTGTCATTATGATTTTGGCCATGTTTGTTTTTCCTTTGCTTACTTGATTTTGTTTTTTGGGGATGTATTTGTTATGTGGTAGAAAATTGGCCAGTCTCTTTGTATACATATCAAGATGAATAAGGCATTTCCTAACTTCAGAAGCTGACATGTCAGGGGTCTGCTGATTTTCTGAGGTCTATTTGGATATAATATGCTAAGTCATGATCCCTTCATTTGAGTTTAATTACCAGCATAGCATGTTTTCATGATAGAAAACAGGTAAAGATTAAGAAAATAAATTAGAGGTGATGAGCAGTAATGAGGTCAAATACAGATGTATTTGAACCAGACATGATAGCACATGCTTATAATCTTAGAACTCAGGAATCTGAGGCAGGAGGATTGTTGCAAGAAGCTAACCTGGGATATGTAAGAAAAACAGTTTGAAAAATTAAAATGTAGTTAGTGTGTTAGTCACTGTTCTGTTGCTGTGGAGAGATACCATGACCATGGCAATTCTTATAAAGGGAAGCATTTAATTGGGACTTGTTTCGATTTTCAGAGGTTTAGTCCACTGTCATAAAGGGAAGCATTGCAACATGCAGGCAGACATGGTGCTGGAGAAATTGCTGAGAGTTCTACATCCAGGTCAGAAGGCAGCACAAAGAGAGAGACACTGGGCCTGCCTTAAGCATTTTAAACCCCAAAGCCCACCCCTAGTGACACATTTCTTCTAACAGGGCCACATCTACTCCAACAAGGCCATAACTCCTAATGCCACTCCTAATGCCTAAGCATTCAAATATATGATCCTGTGGGGGGCATTCTTATTCATAGCACCGTGATTAGGATGTTGCTCAGTGGTAGCACACTTGCCTGCCTTTAAAAGGTTCTGGAACTCGTGGAGGTTTCCCTTGCACTGGGCTTCTACCCAACTCCATGAAGCCCCCTTTCCAATCATCATTCTTAGCACTCTCCCCACCTCCCAAACCTATCCCTCAAGTTCCCGTGCCCACCTGCCCCCAGTCCAACCAGGAGATCTCTTCTATTTCCCCTTCCCTGGGAGGTCCATGCATATTTCCCCTGGGTCCTCCTTGTTTCCTAGCCTCTCTGGGTCTGTGGGATGTAGCATGGCTATCCTTTACTTTTCATTTCCTATCCACTTATGAGTGAGTACACACCATGTTTGTCTTTCTGGGTCTGGGTTACCTCACTCAGGGTGATTTTTTTCTAGTTTTATCCATTTGCCTGCAAATTTCCTGATGTCCTTGTTTTTAACAGATGACTAATACTCCATTGTGTAAATGTACCACATTTTCTTTATCCATTCCTCAGTTGAGGGGCATTTAGGGTGTTTCCAGGTTCTGGCTATTACAAATAATGCTGCTATGAACATAGTTGAGCAAGTGTCCTTGTGGTATGATTAAGCATCCTTTGGATATATGCCCAAGAGTGGTATAGCTGGGTCTTAAGGAAGACATATTATCCTTGCTTTAGGTTAGAGAGTGGTAAAGTCCAAGGATGTAAAAGAAAGTAAGGTACTCATTCATTTTGTGAGCAGCTTGGGCAAATATCCTATGGTAACCTTCCTATTTGCATAACTCAGATTTTCTCTGTGAGGCTTCCATGGGTCTTACTGCAAGATATATAACAATATTGATTCTGGGAGCTACTTAATAATTATCTCAGACAGTGGATACAACTAGATGATTATAATAATTTGGAAATAGAGACATTATGATTAAAAAAAAAAGGTTTTGGGTTAAATTCCTAGAACTACAAAGGAAAAAGTAAGAGGTGTTAAAGTTGTTTGTCACTATGGACACAGGGAAGGAAAAGACACCTCTCGTGAAAGGAATGGTAGATGGACAGCATGGAATAGAAGCCTTTTCTGCTGTGTGTGGGACAGCCTGGGGATTAAGCTGTCTTTATATGGACCACAATAGCCCATTAGAAGCAGACATTTTCCCCAGGAAACAGTTTGTAATAATCTGTAAGTCTATTTGCTTTTTGCTTTTGAACTTGGTAACAGTTTGATTTTTGACTTCATGTTTTTAGGTGGAAGAACTGCGTACTCAACTTACGAAAGCTGAAGGTGACCGGAAGGGTTTACAACACCAAGTAGCCAAGCAACAGTCAAGCTCCCAGGATGATCAACGAGATGACTGGAGGTTTAGAAGAGGTACAGTTCTGGATGCTGGATGTGTGGCTTCTCATCCCCAGAGGTGCACTCCTGTCATGCCTAATTAATCTTTCTAAATTTCTTAATCATCCATGAGGTTTTCAAACAAGTTGGCCATATTCTAGAGTCTGATTTGGATGTCTCTTTTGCTTGATTTCTCAACCTATTTCTCTTGTCAAACCTGCTTGTCTCATGGGCATTGTCTACGAAAGAACATCCCCAGGTTGTGGTGAAGTTTTCAGTTTCTCTCTTCTCCTTGCCTGGGTGCTTTTGTAATTAAGTTGTAAACGTGCCTTTATTTTATCTTTTCTTTTTCCCCCTAATTTGTAATATGTGAACCATTACTATTCAGAGCCTGTTATCTGGAGATGGGAGAGTGGAATCCAGTCTCAGCGTGCTTCAGTACTGATCATAGTCTAGAGCAGAGGCATCTTCATTACTTAGCTCATTTCCCCTTTTTTGGTTCTCTTCCACGAACAGTCATGCCCCGAGCCTTCCTAGTTCTTCTTCTGCCTTATCTGTTCCTTTGTTCATGTCCCGTGTTCAGAGGTTGGTTTTGCTTAGTGTCCTTTTGATGGCTTTTCATATTTAGTATTTCTCCAGAGAAGCTATTTAATCCTGTGCTTTAGCTCTCACCTGCTAGCACCACCCCTGAGTCTGCTTAGTCTACTCAATCTCTGGACTTCAGCCGAGCAGATGGAGTTACTGGTTGTTTTTACATGTGCTCATCCACAGTCTGTGCGGTCAGCAGATTTACAACCGATCCATCCTCTCTTCAAAGCATGTTTTTCTAATGCCTTTGGAATTCTGTCCTCCAGGATTATGTAGGTGTATGACAGCGCTTTCCATACCTCTGTGGATGTGAAGTGTCTTGTTCCTGCCTTGTGACATAGTATTGACCGTGCCTTATCTGGTTTTAATGATGCCACTATAGAATGCTTTGTCTCTAGGTGATGATTGAAAAGCTAATAAAACAAACTGGTGCCAGGTAACCACTAGAGTAAGAGAAATTTGCTATTTCCTGGGCTTTTACATTTTACCCTTCTTCCTTTTTTTTCTTTTTTCTGGAATTCTCAATAATTTTGTATCAACAGCTGAAAAAAAATTGGAAAAACTGTTGTTGCTCTTTGACACATAGCATATATTACTGGTCTTCATGTATTCATGTACCTAAAATGTTTGAATTGTGGAAACTGTGTTGTTAGCTTTGGAAGAAAGTTTCCCATTTTACATTGTTGAGTTGGCTTTGTAAAGAAACTGACAGCCATAATGATCTGGAAACATTAAATTTTTCTTCATTTGTACATGGTATTGTACAGTATAAATAAGTTCTTGCTGAAATGAAATATTTTCTAAGTAAAAAGTAAAATTAGACCCCTTTTCTCCTTCCTATCCTGATTAATGGTTTCATTCCCCAATCTAGATACTTCAGCCTAAAACACAAAGGAACATATGGAATTATTTTTTCTTCACTCATTAATTGGTCCCTACCTCCTGTTATGTATCTGTCTGCATCTCTCTTCTTTTCTTCTGTGTTGTGAGACAAGATCTTCCTCGCTAGGTCAGGCCAGCCTTGCAGTGGGGATCACCTGCTGTATTCGCTGGCTCTTGGGATTACAGGCACTTGTCACTCATGGCTTCTGGTAGCTCTCAGATCTGTCACCTCTTTTTTCCTTATTCCATCACCCCAGCTTTGACATGTGTCAGCTTACTTGTCCTTCCATTTTAACTTGCCTTGCTGGGCTCTGGCTCCCCTAAGCCTCTCTCCTATACTGCTACTCAGGGCACCCTTCTAAGACAGCTGTTTGTTTTCATATCTTCACTTTGTAGTGAAGGATTCTTACCAGATAAGAGGTATTGCGTACTCCCTGTACATTATCTCCCTTACTCATGGGACTATTCTAGGGAGAAAAGTATGGTTCATTTCAGTGATTAAAGAAAATACATGCATTTCTCACAGATTTGGCAGCTGGGAAGTTCAGATGCAAAGGCTGCGTGTGGTGACAGCCTCACTGTATAAAAACACAGTGGATGGCATTACATGATGAGAAAAGACTGCCTAGATGGAGAGGCAAAGGCCAGACAGCATGTCCAATGTGTGCTGGGAAGAAGGGGAGAGAGAAGAGAGAGCTGATGAATGAGAATGAACATAAAGTCAACGTGACAATGTTCATTTGGGAGAGGCAACTAGCAAAACCATTTATAACAAAAGTCATGCCGGGCGGTGGTGGTGCACGCCTTTAATCCCAGCACTCGGGAGGCAGAGCCAGGCGGATCTCTGTGAGTTCGAGGCCAGCCTGGGCTACCAAGTGAGTTCCAGGAAAAGGCGCAAAGCTACACAGAGAAACGGCGCAAAGCTACACAGAGAAACCCTGTCTCGAAAAACCAAAAAAAAAAAAAAAAAAAAGAAAAAAAAAACAAGTCATACTCCCGATGACTAACACTCCCTAGCAGGGCATTAACCCATCCAGAAGAGTGGAGCTCTTAGGAGGTAGGCAGGTCTTGAAGGTTCTTCATCTTAACAGCATTGCAGTAGCAGGCTTCAGCATGAGTTTTTGATGGGCCATTCAAACCATAGGTAGATGTCAATCTGCTTCCACAAACTTGAGTTTCTAATTACTGTCCCATAATGATACGAGCATCATCCCTGACAGAGTGTAGGTAACAATCCTCTGGATTTGTGAGGAGTGCATAATTTTTCTTCTATTTTATTGTTAATGTTTTAAATATTTGAATTTTGTGAAATATTGTATATGAAACTTGTATATATATATATATATATATATATATATATATATATATATGTTTATCCACATTGGTATTTTATGTGTTTAAAAATGTTATACAACATTTGGTGTGTATCTGTTCCAAATATATACATATTTTATGAAGTTTTATTTATATATACATTTATGCCTATGTATTTTATACAATATGTTCTAGTATTGTATACTTCCTACTAGTATATGTTCTTGTAGGTAGCCACACTAATGATATATGTATCATGAAAAATATTATATAGTCATATTACCAAGGCTTGTTATACATATGTATAGAATCCTACATATGCTTATTTATAGTATATTTATAAAATTTATGAAAACACGTGTCTATGGAGGGCAGGCTAGTCTTGAACTTGTGATCCTACTGGCTTAGCCTCTTGAGAACTGGAATTAACTGATGTGTATGACTACCTGGCTCATTCAAATACTTGTTATATCACCCGCAAGATTAAATCTTGCTATCCCTTAGTTTTGGGGAAAATTGAAGGTCCCAGTCCCTGCCCATATGTGAGCTCCCTGCTGCCTCTGTCTCTTCCTGTCCTTGTATTTGTTAATTATTCAGTATGAAGCTACCTGAATATTAAATCCTGTTGTAACCTGGACTTTATGCTGTTTCGTTATCCAGGGTAACACTCCAATGCCATCTCTCTTAGTTTAGTGAAATCTGTATCTATTGTGTAAGTATAGTTTAGTTCCCCATTCTCACTGTGTTTTTTTAAATTGTCATCTGTCAGGCTGTTGTTATGCTATTGAAGAACCTGTATGCCTTCCCTTTCAGTGTGTGGTTTTGAGACCTTTACTGTTTCTCAAGTTGGAATGTAATTCGTAAATTATATACAGATTTGATTTGGTCATATTTATTTCACTCCTTTTCTAGAAAGAAAATTATTGGGAAAACAGTGTTGAATTGTTAACATATATTCTAATTGCTAATATTTTAGAGTAAAGGAAGCATTTTGTGTGTTTTTCCATTCTTATAATGCAAGCTCATTGTCAGTGGATTTTTATGTTGTCCATCTTCATATGTGAAGAATATGATAAAATGTCCTATGTCTCATTGACCAAGCATTTAGAGTTGAATTAAATAATTAATGTATATTGTTCAGTGTTATAATTTAAGGTAAAGCCTTCAGGAGTAGGAGAATTAGTGAACCAGCAGTCAGTCTTACAGAGGTTGAGGAGAATCATTTGTTGTTTATGTGTAAGAACAACATTTCACTGTGTAAGTCACAGTAGCATCAGCATATAGCAGCCTGGTTGAGTTCAGTGTTTTTGCTTTAAAGTTTGCAAATAATGTAGCCACACAGGGAATGTAGTGAATAAAAGGTATAGGAGTTTCCTGAAATAAATTGTATTAGAAATTAGGAAACACCGAAAATATCACTGTGTCATAAAATAGGATGGCATAGCTAGTTGCCTGTGTAGTTTTGAGAAGTATTTCAGACTTGATGCTGTACTTGATTTAGACTGATACAGTACTTTGAATTTAGCTCATTAGCAGGGTGCCCTGCATGTGTGGGAACCATGAGACCTGAGATGGCAGATTGGAGAAATCTGCAGTGCCTGTTGAGTGGATTATGTTAGCTAGCACATTAAGACTCAAAGGCTTAATAGTAACTGTTGGACAGTACACTCTCCTGTGAATAAAGAGTAACCAAAGAGCTTTACATTTGCCTCTTAAGGGGTAGAGCGGGAGAAACAGAGTCTGGAGAGGCAGATGGCGGAACTGCGGGTGCACCTGAACTTCAACGCCATGGCTTCCGAGTTAGAGGAGGTGAAGCGGTGCATGGAACGGAAGGACAAGGAGAAAGCCAGTTTGGCGGCCCAAGTAGAGGTGACGTCCGTCTTTAATCTACATTTGGAGGACAGTTTTATTTACTGGAATTGCTTAAAGAAATTTAATCCAAAGTTGTATAATTTTGAGAGCTACTTTTGGAGGTAAATGATATAAAATGAAGCTAACAACTACTTGACTCCTATACAGCACCTCCTTAGAGTTTAGATTTTCTTTTGGGATTCCGAAATGAAGTCTTTTTTAGTTTTCTTCATTATTTCATAGTGAAAGCCTTTTCTCTTCTTAACCTTGAAGTTAACTTTTGGTCCTGCATGCAGGAAGGGTTTTCTTCTCTGAGATAGCAGTGGTTTATTTTGGGGATGAACGTGCCCGATGGCAGAGTGAAAAGAACCCTGTGATGTCTCTTCTTTGGAACGCTTCAGGTTCCCATATCTGTAGCTGTTCGCCTGAGGGTAGCGCTGTGATGCCTCCAGGAACTGGAGTTGTGGGGTGCTTATGAATATGTGGTAACCCGTGAATGAAGCAAAAGCAGGCAGCTGCCATTTCCTGTGTGTCTTTTATCTAACTTAGATGAGGTAATTATCAGAATATATTAAAAATCAAAGAAAAGGACCTCATGAAAGGAAATAACTTAATTCTAATTCTAATTATGCAAATTAGATCAAACCTAGTTGGCACATTTGGAAATAGATATGTATCAGCTCTTCCCCTGCATCTGTTTATTAGTGCAGTTGTCTTCTAATAAGTTGCCACATTTGAAGAGTTTCCATAATTCTAATGATAGGTAGAAAATTGATGCTCACAGCTCCTGACTTTGTATAACCCAAAGGAAGTACTGAACGCGTCTTCAGCCCGAGTTTCTCTTTTATCTGTCAGCATGCACTAAAAATACCTTTTAGATTTCATTCAAGATTTAGATCATAGAGACAGTAAAGATAAAGAAATACTGGCATGCTCTTTCCTCAGCTTCCTAGATGTTTAATAAATCCCAGAAATAGCTCTAGTGCAACAATTGACTTGTGAAATTTGCTTCACGGGTGTCAGTGTGGCCCCTGGTCTTGCTGATGAAAATGGCAAAATCGATTGTTTAACAGAAGTTAAGTAACGCCAAAGCAAAACAGCAAATTTCAAAGGTTAAAAAAAAAAAATTAACAAAAAACTGCTGTAGTTTTAACCAGAGCTTGTTCTTTGTTCCCTTCTTCCCTTTCTCCCTAGTTTCTTTGTTTTTATTTTTGTTGAAAATTGGGTGGTGGTGGAGGAAGTTCTGAAGTCCATGGGCATTAAAAAATGGTTTACAGTAGCGTAGCAATGGTCTCAAGGAGCCTGATTCTCTGTTTCTAGCTTAGTCATCATCCATGGGAGTAATTTTCATATAGGTTAGGACTGGTTGTGCAGGGTTTGGTTTGGAAAGCATTGGAGAGAGGCTTACGTTCACATATCCAGTATCGCTCGTTGTCAGTTGCATTTCAGGCACTCTTGAAACATTGTTATGTTGTGTGTTGTGCCGCCCCCCCCCCCCCCACTTACCTTTAAGAAGACATTGCAAAGAGGTAGCATTCATCTCCAGGAAAAATAGTTTTACTTACAGCTCCCTGCTTCTCTGCTCCTCCACCCCACCCCCTCCTTTTGAGACATGGTCTGTCTTTGTAGCCCAGAGTGGCCTTAGATTCGCTGCATAGCCCAGGCTGGCTTCGAACTCCTGCCTCAGCACTCTAAGTACTGGGATTATAAGAGTTTCTTAACCTTTAACAATAAAATGAATCAAGTTTCTCTCAGTTGTCTTGGATTTAGCAGTACTTCTGATTACACCATGTTTGTCATACCTTGTGGTTCTGTTCTCAAAGTGATGTCTAGTCTTGGCTCTGTGAGAAATAGAGGTGATAGGTTACAGAGGTGTAGCTGCTGACAGTTGAGACTACCTCTGAAATATAGTCAAATTCCATTTAGTGTTTGGACATTTTCAAAAAATGTTAGCTAATTTGGGATGTTGGGCTATTGTTGCCTTATGTACTTTATAACTGAATAGAAATTAATCTCCTTTGGTTGCTTGTGTGTTCTGTGTGTGTACCCGTGTTTGGTGTATGTACCTATTTATATGTTTGCGAATGTATTTTTGGTGGTGGTGGTGTGTGTGTGTGTGTGTGTGTGTGTGTGTGTGTGTGTGTGTGTGTGTGTTCATGCCAGAAGTCAACCTTGGGTGTTTTTTCCCTCTGACAGCTTCTCCATCTTATTTTTTGTACTTTTAAAAACTGTGTCTATAGTTTTAAAATTCCTCCCTCACACATTATCATGTCTGACGATCTTGCTATTCATCTAGTCTTGTTTATTCATCCATTTCAGGGGGAGACTGTTTCACAGCAGATTTCTTGATATTCTGACTCTTAAAATATTTCTCCCCTCTCTTCTGGGATGTTCCTTGTGCCATAGAAGCAGGGACTGTAATATAGATGTATCTTTGTGGTCCCACCTGTAGACAGTAGATGTAGTCACTTGTTGACTTCTGGGAGAAGGAGAATTAGCCTCTCTTCTGGATGAGTCTTCTTCATAGCAGCTGGTTATCTGTGAAACCACATACACACAACTAAAAATTGGACTTGGCAAGTTGTGTGTGTGTGTGTGTGTGTGTGTGTGTGTGTGTGTGTGTGTGTGTGTATGTAAAACAATAAAAGAAAATAGGCTACCAACTTTAGAGTGGGGGGACAGGACAGATTTGAGGGAAGGTAGCTAGGAGTAGCTGGAAGAAGTAGAGGGAGGAGGGAAAGTGATATAATTCAGTTAGAAACATATTAAAAAACCAAAATTATTTGCTTATTTCTTGTGTGTGTGTCCACATGTACACATACCACCAAGTGTGTAGAGGTCAGAGGACAACTTGCAAGTGTCATTTGTTTCTACCATGTGGTCCCAGGGATGAACCCAAGTTGTTAGGCTTGGTGGCAAGGCCCTTTACAAAGCCACAGAGTCACCTTGCTGGCCCTCCACTGTATGTGTGAGCCAGAGTTGCTCACTGTACTTGAAACTCTCTGATTTAGCTAACCTGGCCAGTGATCTTTAGGGATCCACCTGCTCCCCCCGTACCCCCCAATGTCAGGGTTACAAACATGTTATAGTGCTTGTCTTCTGCTTGGCTTTTGAGATTGAACTCAGGTCCTGATACTTGCACAGTAGGAATTTCCCCTCTGAGCCAGCACTTCTTTATTTTTTAAAGATCAAATATGTTAACCCAAAATAGATGTACGAAAAGATTATTGGCCAGCCCAAGAACATGTATGTGATAGTAGTCCTTAGAATTTTGTTGTTGTTGTTTTGGTTTTCTTGAGACAGGTTTTTCTGTGTTGCTCTGGCTGTTGTGGAACTTGCTTTATAGACCAGGCTGGCCTTGAACTCAGAGATCTACTTGCATCTGCCTCCCAGTTGCTAAGATTAAGGTGTGCATCACGAATGCCTGGCTAGTGCTACCACCACCTGGCTTAGAATTTTTTAATCATTAATGCTATTTCTTTTTAACCACAACTTTCCTATAGTTCTATAGAATCTCATATAAAATCTTGACAATAACATTGTTTTCCTTAAAGTTCCCAAATTTCCATCCTCTGTTTTGCCTTTGTTTCAGTTTTTCACCGCTTCTCTCTCTTTTTGAGGAAATTGTAAAGTCTTCCCTCCCCGAAGCCTTTTCGGAGTGTAGCAGACATAAGGGACACTCTCTCCAGCTGTCTTTTGTCGCAGACGTAAGGGACAATCTCTCCAGCTGTCTTTTGTCCACATCGCTAATATTTTTTATTACTGTCTTTACATTGGCATACTTTTATCTGGATATATTCCTTTAAAATTTCAAAGTAGGTCACAATAAAGTGGAGCTACAAGATTAAGCCAGCAGCCACGTCACCAAGACAGAGTTGACGCTATTGCTTTTATCTTGGGAAGACATCATGTCAGAATACTGTCCTCTTATCTGGAGATGTGTGTTCTGTGTCCTGCTGTTAACGTGATCCAGGTGACTGGCTCCCCTCAGCAGTGCAGCTCAGCAAAGAGCAAGGCAGGAGAGTGCTGGTTCATCTACTTACGCCATGGGAGCCTGTGGACATTTTAAGGGACTATCATGCATCTCTAATTGTCTGTATCTAGGTTTTGGAATTTGAAACCAAAAACTTGCCTGTTGAAGGCAGAATGAGAGGCAATGATGTCTAAAAGGCCATGTGTTTGTGGCTACAGTGAGGTTTCTAGCTCTTTCATATGCTGTTACAGGAATCCTTCTGATTTCCTGTCTTTTCTCCCATAGTGTTTTTTTTTTTTTTCCCTCTGATGTTGCTTGTCTTTCTAAGATTGGCTCACTGTATTTTCACTCTGATGTTCATTATTTTGTTTCCTTTTGTTTTGATATTTTACTGTGCACAGATTTTGCTGTGGGCAACCTACCAGTATGTGTTGATGTTAAAATGCAAACTTGTATTGTAGTAGGAGCTCCTATGTGGGTGTGGGTTAAAATCAGATTTACTGTCTGTGCCCTACTGTACTACTACACAATGTATTAACCTGAATTATATGCTCAGTTACCATTTGTTGGTGAAGGTAATTATGGGAAAATCTTTTAGTAATTTTGAAAGCTAATGTTTGTTGTTCAGCCTCTTTCTTTTTTCCTTCCTTCTTTCCTTCCTTTCTTCTTTCCTTCCTTCCTTCCTTCCTTCCTTCCTTCCTTCCTTCCTTCCGTGTGTTGTGGAATTATCTTTTTGTACACTGTGAAGATATGTCTTTGCCAAAGCACCTTCTGATTGGTTTAATAAAGAGCTGAATGGCCAATAGCTAGGCAGGGAAAGAGGTTAGGTGAGACTTCTGGGGACAGAGCGAGCTCTGGGAAGAAGAAAAGGGAAGTCAACAGCCAGATGTAGAGGAAGCAGCATGGCAGTGCAGAGTAAAGATAATAAAGCCATGAGACAAAAAGTAGGTTTATAAAAATGGATTACTTTATATTGTAAGAGCTAGTTAGTAACAAGCCTAAGCTATTGGCTGATCTTTTGTAATTAATAAGTCTCCATGTGGTT